AGACAATTAGGGTCAACTGGATGCATGTTCTTAGTGGAAAATAATGGAAAGCAAGACAGTTGTCCACGATACTTGCATCAAGCTACACTTTAAGATAAGTTTAGATTTAAAGCTTCTCCTAATTGGACCTCACATTTGATTGGACTGACAGTTAATTTAACTGTGAAATTGCATGATTATCCATCCTTCAGATAATTATTTGGATAAAGTGTTATGATTTGACCGCCTGTAAGGGTTAGCCTATTCCTAGGCACCAAAACACCACTGTTCAATAAGTTATTACAATTATTAATATTATTACAGTAAATAATTTATCCACCAGCTAAACGATGTGATGTCTAACTTCGAAACTGCATAAATAACAATTGTTTTCAAAGTGGAATTCCGAACATGCCCCTCGTCAGCCATTGATGAACAAAGCCAAAGCACAGGTTGTTAAAAAACAAATAAGGACATTTTCATAGCTCCAATCAGTGTTCATAGTTTTCGAGAAAATTAAGAGTTTTCAAGACAACCTGTGATATTTAGAAAGTATTTTAACACCGAAAATGTTACATATTTCAGCTTTACCGAAGTTCATACAGCAATATAGAGTGTGTGGTCAGCTTTATAATCATTTTACAAACCAAGAAGTCTGTGTTTTTCTGCAAGCAACTTAACAAATTAAAAATGAATTGTAAAAGAGAAACTGTCAGAAAAAAAGCTCTCAGAAGATAAGAATGAGTTTACAATATTGTAGGCAATATATTTCAAGCAGTACAACCTTTACCCTCAATTTTGGGACTGTAGCATTCATCATTTTGAAATGCTGGAATAGTTATTGTCTTTCACAGCAAAATAGTTGCAAAAATAAAAAGCATGAAATGCATGAAATGGTATAGTGCACAAGGTATGCAATTTTTATTCATAAATCAATTCATGGAAACGTGTATAGACAAGTTCTTAGTCAAGCTGAATACGGTATTAAAATGAATGTCCTTTGTACAATGTCAGTTGATGGAATCCATAACTTTTACTATCTTTCTAAATTAGCTTTTTAAGATGATAGCGGTCATGTTAATTGGAAAACTCTTGTTTTTGCTGGTTTGACTCAGTGCGGGAGACAGATGGCCACTCAGAGCTCATTCTTTGAACTGTGCTGATACAGCAATAGAATGGTTAAAAAAAAAAGCTGAATATGGGAAACAACAGATTTGGGCTGAAAAACTGTAGTGTGCCATTTTACACACTGTAAATGGGCTCAGAGGTCCTTCTGCTGATTTATTAAAGTAATTTGTTTTAATATATTACGAATAGGGCTGGGCAATAGCCCACAGTGCATGCTAATAATAATAATATATTAATTTTATTATTATTTTTGACCTTATAATAAATGTATTTATTTATTTATTTATTTACACACAAACTTAATAGTTTACTTTATATATAAATGTAAGTTAGTAAGTCAATTTGCATAATCTTGTATAAGCTTATGTTGTTTTTAGGGTGATTTCAGCAAAGACTCACCAGCAGGCTGTGGACTATAACATTTTTGAGGGAATGCTGTGTCATGGGCTTCCAGTGGTCACAATCGCCAGGGGGAAGGTGGTTTATGAAAATGGGCAACTGTTCACAAAGCCGGTCATGGGACGATACATCCCATGGAAACCCTTTCTGAATTTGTGTATAACAGAATTAATCAGCGGGAAAAGGTAGGACAAGTTTGGGCTCTGCTCTAAGGCTGCCCAGCATCCTCTAAAATTTTGAAATGTGCTGTAGAAACTGAGGCTATTTTCTTAGGTTGGAAAGCCCTGTGCTGTGTGCAGAGAACCATACACTGGAGAAATAATATTCATAGCCCCAAAAAGATCCTGAATCAGGAAAAAAAATGTTTTATAAGGGTGTTTTATAAGATGAATTTGCAGTATACTCTTAAAAACGAAGACTCCAGTTATGACCAAAAAAGGGATTTGCCATAGAAGAAACATTTCAAGCTTCACAAAGAACTTTTTAGTTCTGTAAAGAACCCAGAAACCACTGAACTGCTCTGGAGAACCCAAAAATCTATACACTCAACTCAAGAACCATCTACAGTGAAAAAAAATGGTGCTGCAAGGAATGACTGAAGGACCACTTATGCATTAGTGATGAACAATGATCAATTCTGATATTCTCCTGTTTTGTGTTTTGAATCACCCCCCAAAAATGTCGTACAGTATTGTCAAAAACACAAATTTTTTTAGCTACAAAATGTTTTAATACATTTTTATATGGTCATGATCAGACTCTGAGAAGACATTTTTTTTTCATGAGAAAAACTACTTTTATTCAGCTAGGATGCAGTAAATTTGATAAAAAGTGAAACGAAAGACATATATATTACAAAATATATATTTCAAATAAATGCTATATACATATATACAAATATATACAAGTAAGTATTAACTGTTTACACCATTGCTCATAAGAAATTTTTCTTGAAAATTAAACTTTACTATCAAAGGAATAAATTACGTAAAATATATTAGAATAGAAATTAGTTATTTTAAATTGTAATAATATTTCACAATGGTACTGTTTAGAGCCTTGGTGAGCAGAAGGTCTTTCAAAATCATTAAAAAATCTTACCAACCCTACACTTTTGAACGGATGTCTACATGCTTTGTATTCTATAAGATACAGGTTTAAAACGTATGCATATGCTCATTGTTCAATGACTTCAACCTCAATCGGAGTCTGTTGAACCCTGAAGAGTGAAATGAAAACCATGGCCCTGGTCACAAACTATGACCACTAGGGCTCCTTGTTCCATACAGCACAAACTGATCACTAGGGTAGAGGTCTGCGCGGGACTGTTTTTTAGTCCCGCTCCCGCAAGGTTCTATTTCGCACCCACCCACTGAGGGCCGTATATTTACCACAGGTACAGCCTGCTCTTGAGCAACGTTATGCACATGCTGCACACAGACCACGCAATTAAAACGCATGACATTTAAAGCATGCAGCGCGTGCATAACAGTCCTGAGCAAGCTGTACCGATGGTCAATAAGAGTAAAGCACAGATATGCTGTTCTAAATGGATGTCGGGAACGGGATATTGTTAGACCGCCCGCTCCCGTTCAAATTACACTAGAGTTACCGACCGCTACCGCGTTTTATTCGGGAATTTAATCCCACAGCGCAAAAAATTTGGTCGGGTCCCGCGGTTCCCACGGGAGAGCCGTGGGAATGCAGACCTCTACACTAGGGCCCCATGGCCTATTATCCATTTGCCATTATCAATTGTCATCACAAACAGAACACCTGCTTTTTGTATACAGTGCAATGCTAGGGTACACTTTTTGATAAAACGGTGTGTGAATGTTGTGTTGTCAACATGTCAAACCTGCAATTATGGCTGATCAACAGACTGATGTGTTGCAAACTTCAAGCATATTTAAACAGCGTTAGGGTTTGTCCTGTGCTTATGGAAAAGTAAGGGGCACCAAAAACTGGGCTGCAATAAAAACAAAAAATTAATTATTTTGCTTATACAATTTACACTGTAACAGTCAAGGCCAAAACATCATCTGCAAGAACTTGAATACAGATGCTTACAGCTACTTATGTTTGATTTCACACATAGTACTTTTTTGTGAAATGTATCACAACATTGCATTTATAACACTATAGTGGCTATCAACACACCTTCTGCTACTGTATGTTTCTGGAGAAGCAAAACTGAAGACTTGTTTTCAGAGAATATATTTTGAATTAAATGCATTATTCTTACCTCACTGTTAATTATAAAAGAATAAATAATACTGAGTGAGGTTTATTCTTAAAGCAAGAAGAACTATTTGAAAATGGGGTAATACATTTAAACTTAATGTATGATAGTCTTTACATCTTGCACACTCAAGAAAATGTATTCTGTTTCAAGGATGTTTGAATATATTTAGAAGAAAACATGTGACCAACCTGCATGGCTAAAGTCTTCAGAGCTCCTTCATGCTCTTCTGCTTTAGTTTTGCACCGCTTTCTTAAAATCTTTGCATGTAGATAGGCAGCTCTTTTCTCCGCGACTTCTGAGAAAAACTGCTCAGATAGCACAACTCTAAGCTGGACCATCTGTGATGAAAGAAGAATCAGAACAACCAGCAAGGCCAGGACGACAGACAGAGGAACCAGAGACTGATAGAGCCACAGTTCCGGTTCAGGCAAACACTTCTTCTCAAACAGAGACACCGTGTAGGAAAAGTTTGCCCCTTTTGCATTTTCACCAACAGGTAAACCTAGAAATAATGTGGCCTCCTTTGAAAACAAAGGAGAAATGGAAAGAAAAGAATTAGATGAAATTCAGACATCAATTACTAACCCTCTGGAATTGTGTGACTTTCTTCCTTTCTTCTGTAGAACACAAAAATAAAAGATACAGAACGCAGAACGCTGTGGTCCAATCAACATTGGGCCCCATTGCCTTTTTTTTTGCTTTTTGGTTCCAAAGAAAGAAAGTCATACAAGTTTGGAACGACATGAGGGTGAGTAAATTATGACATTTTCATTTCTGCATGAATTATCCCTTTAAACCTACAGAAATGAAGATATTTGTGCCCTTACGAAAATTAACCATGGTTTTACTACAAATAAAACAAAAGAAAACATGGTTACTATAGTTAAACCATGGTAACCACAAATTACCCATGGTTTTGCAACACTAACCATAGTTTAATCATGGTATTTGTAGTAAAACTGTGGTTATACAAATGGCAGTCAATACGCCAAAAAACCATGGTTACTACAATTTTACTATAATAAAACCATGGTTAATTTTCGTAAGTTCACACAGCTGCAGAATACATTTGTCTTTTCTTTAGTTTACACACAATTCAGTTTTGAATGAGAATGAAACTGGATTCTAAGTGACTGCATTTACCAAAACAAGAACAAGAACAATACTACATTCATAAACAGTAAAATACATTGCCATTCATGGATATAGTTAAGATGGTTGATTATAAAAGAGTATAAGGATTCTTTGCCTACTGTGCTTTTATACGAAAAATATCTGAGGTTACCTTCACACAACAGAAAAAAACATTTTATAATGATTATTCCTATTTGAAATGCTAATCAATTTTGACAGAAAGTGCAACCGTAATCTATAACCAGATTACAGCACAATATGTTTAGTGCAACAGTTCTGTTCACACTCAGTTCAGATATAGAAAAAAACGAAGGATTGTTCCCAAAATCCGTAAAAAACAATACTGCAACTTCTTTGTTTACCTGAACTTTTATTCCCACAGGAACACGAAGTGGCTCCAGTTCCCCGAGTCGCTTGCTCAGAACTACAATAAGCCAGTAAATCAGGGCGTCTAGACTGATAAACACCAGCCAGGTGAGACAGTGAGTGAATATGGGAAGACTGAACTTGATCATGGCTTTCCACCGCCGACCCGTCGGACGAATGGATGGAGTCACTACATAAAGTTCCGATTCGTTTTTGGTCAGCGGAAGGACATACGGTTTTCCCATTTCCCTTTGCCGCTCGTCAAAACAACGGAAAGTTTTTGTGATGTATTGGTTGTTGTATCTTTTGTCTACGTGGAATCTTCTCAGGTATAGAGCAGTGAGGAGTACAAGAAGTAAAAGACCTAATGTTGGAGACAATATCTTTCCTATTGAAGACAAAGTGTTGGTCAGTGCTAACAAATTTTGCGTGGTCTGGTTTAAAACCTGTTCTGCCTCGGTGAGGTACATTTTGAAGTCTTGCGAGTCCACCTTTGCTTTTAGTTTGAAATCTGCATGGTAACTCACTAACTGAAAGCTTGTAAAGTAATTTTTAAGTTGCTTTCCCACCCACTTCAGCATTTTGATATAATTCCCGAGGGGTTCTGTATTAATATCCAATAACTTTTCCTCCAAGTTGCAGAGGAGGCCTTTTGCAAGGAGCCTCATGTTCCGCGACATGTTCTGGATGTTGAAGAAAATCACTGAACTGGTTCCTAAAGTGAGAAGAAGTCTCTTCACTTGTTTCACACCCATTGAGATCAAAATCAAGGCTCCAAAACAGCGAATCCTTTCTGAGAAATACATGGCTGGTGTTACGCTTATACAAAAAACACAAGTAAAGGGAAGCGAGACCTCCTGAGCACATTTGAAGGAAAAGTGGAGGATGAGAAAGAGGAAGGTGCTCAGAATGAGGCTGGTGGTAAAACAGGTCAGCAGGAGGAGAAGTTTTTCCTTCCAGCTTTTTGTGGTGCTGGTCGTGTAGAGACCACATATTCTGGACCAGACCCGTCGTAGTCCTTCTGCCAGTTGATGCAGTTTAGCTTGAATCATCATCGTCCCATTAGCTTGAATCATCATCGTCCCACTAACCTGAAATTACTGGAACAAAGATTTTAAAATCGTTAATGGTTTCATAACTAAATTATTAATTAGCCCTAGAATTTCTGCATTATTTTGATCTATAGTGGCCCCAAAACATACTGTATTTAGACACTTAAATCACACTTTAAAAAAAAAAGAATATAATTTCATTAGATGACAAAACATCAAATCAAGTGACTTTTTTTGTAATACAGCAGCACAAGCATACAAGTAAAACCTTTAACAAAAATACATTTGTTGGGTTTTAGATGATAAAACAATAGATATATTGTTCTATTTGGACATTTTATGGTTTAAACAGCATGGTGAGACTAAGTTCAATTGCAATAAATGGCTCAAAAAAGTGAATTCCGTTTTTGCAGATGTCACGTGGTTACTTTGTTAACTAATTCAATGACATTCAGACATTTGTCAGCGTGGCTTAAGTTATATAACACCAATAGTGCTATCAAATAATTAATCGCATCCAGAATAAAAGTTTTTGTTTACCTAATGTATGTGTACTGTGTTTATTTATTATGTATATATAAATACACACACATACAGTATATATATTTGAAAATATTCACATGTATATACATTTATATTATTATATTTTATATTATATAGAAATATATTTAATATATAAACATTGCATATTTTTCTTAAATATGCATGCGATTGTATTTATATATACATAATAAATATACACAGTACACACTCATATATTATGTAAACAAAAACTTTTTTGGATGCGATTAATCATTTGACAGCACTAAACACCAAAACTTAAATTTGATATTATACTGACTAAAGCAGCAATGAATCTGTTAATACAATTTAGTCTATCTTACAATGCTACATTTGATTTTGTGATGACTTAAACACCCTATCTTCTGATTTGAACAGTCATGCAGGTATTTCACAGTTAACCTATTTTTCAATATTTAACCTACCTTTTATTTGTCCGCAGTCTTGTCAGCTCACGAGTGTGTTGTGACAGTTCAGCATTCATCTTTTTAAAGTAAAACAAGAGGAAGCTGATTTTATCCCTCAGTTGTTCACTTCCTTTTTAGCCATCATCTCAGCACTTACTCATAACCACAGAACAGCACTGACAAAATCCACCTCGTGATTAATGTGTTTTCAGAAAAACCCCAATGCCATTTAGTTGTTTGTGGAAAGCTGCATGCTCGCTTTCTAAGTATGATCATTTTGATAACATAGGAAAACAAAACAAATTTCCCTAGGACAAAATTATAGAACTATTTACAATATAATAACTGAATAAAAAACTGAAATGTATTGTTATTATTACACTTCTGAAACTAATACATTTATATGTATATGTTTGTATACACACTGTACATTACCATTGACATATGCTACAAGACATAATGAAGAGTTTTTCCTTTTTCTCAAATGATTTTTTTTCTATTCACTTTTTAAGTTAAGCTAAAGCTGTATGCATGTGTATGAGTGTGTGTACTTTGTTTTTCATGTCATGTCAAGAAACATTAGAGACGTATTGCTTTTGTTTGCGAATGCTCATTTTCCAGTGTAATATCCATTTTTTATTTTTTAATTTGAAAAATAACTTACATAAATCTCTGTACTCAACCATACTTGACCAAGACATAGCCTTGGCATGAACACATTGCACCAAAAAAAAAAAAGGAAGAAGAAAAAAAAAAACTATATAGAAGGCATTTGAAATAGAACAGAACATACCCCTTTGACATCGTGAGACATTATCCCACTTCCATAAGATTTGACAATATCTAGAGAGTTTGCTATTCAAATTCTGTAGATTGTGACAGACGTACACAAAAATCATTAACAGACTGAACGCTCGATAAAATGATTCATCAGAAAAGTTTATTTTCAAAGGAAGAGGTATAATGTCTCTAAATTAAAACTATGCATTAAAACTATGAAGTTCTGAAAATAGAAAATAAAAAATAAATAGGTCTTGGCTTGTAAATAAACTAACAAAAATATATTAAATGACTTCTACTTTCTTGAAACGAAGAAATAAAAACCAAAGTTATATCGTGTGGCAATATCATCGTCCCGATGTGCATTTCTCTGCAGACAGCATCATGCTCGGAAAACTGTACAGCACAATACTGCCAAAGTCAGTGAGCTGCAGCCGTCTCCGGTAAAAAGATCTCGTGAAATTTTGGGCTCTTTTGTCAGGAATACTGCAGCTCATATTTCCGTAAAGATATAAAAATCCCTGGTCACGTTTTTCCCTTAAATTGGTCAACAAAGTATGATTTTACAAGGTGGAATGTTCATTCGGAATTTTGCCCTTCTGGTCCGTGTGAGACCACTGCCTAATTTTCACTAAAATTCAATTCAGGGTGAAAGGGGGGTAGGGGGATGGGGACAGAGGATCGTCGTCGACATGCACTGTACAAGAAACTGCATTTTTTTTTCTCCAAATATCTTCATCAAAACATGCTGAGTTACTGTAAGATGTGCCAAAGCCATGTTGCCAAAAACCCTTTTCAACATGCTTGTTAAACGAATGAACTTCAAACAATATCCAGACTAAAACTAGAAGAGCTGTGGGAAACGAACAGCCCTGAAAATAAAAATTTAAAGGAGAACTGGAATAATATCAGGGGGAAAATCTGACAATGGAAGCAAGAAGTACAGAGAGTTTACCCTGGGACAAGGGAGAAGTAGAGAAACGTACAATTTGCACATCGTCTTTAGCTTCATAAGGCTTACGCCTTTACAATAATAAATCATAGACATTGATTTTTTTTTCCATCTTTGTCACATGAACAGATTTCTCACTGTAAATAAAATGTTAAGCTTGACAAAAAACAAGGTTTCAAGTTGTTGTTGTTTTTTTTAAATCACACTGTAGCATTCACTCCCCATGAAAATCATGCACTAGTGAAATTTATCTTTAAAAATAATAGAAATTGTTGAAAATGGCTGATCCGGTTCATTTTTTCTTTTTCTTGTCTTTTTTTTGCAAGTAGCAGTCTGAGAAAATGATTTCCTATTCACTTTTTTTTTTATTTTTTTAAGTTCAGCTAAAGTTGTGTCCATGCAACAAAAAAACTCGTCATTTCTTCTTTAGGTTTCATACGGTATCAAGAGAAGTACTTCAATTTGATCTTAAAAGATGATTCAAACCTACATTTCATCTCTGTAATGATCTAGCAGAATCGTATTTGGGGAGTGAGGTGCTTATTCCCACTTCATATTCATGTTTTGTGTGTACATTTCTGGGTCTGTTGGCATGGCTTGACCCAAGGAACACTGTTAGCCCATGTAGATACAAATACATCAACATTAAAAGAAACATAAATGGAAAACAAAAGTCGAAGAGAAGGTTTCTCCCCATTTCAAAACGGGCTTCTGAAGAACTCGACGTGTCAGTTCTCAGTTCAGACTCATCTCCAATGGCTTCAAATAGGTTCTAAAAGCAGGAATTGTGACGTTCCTCAGGCTAAGGAGGCCATTTTCCAGCTTCGTCTCGTCCCTGCCCCCTAGGGGTTGCTCTTTGCGCACAATGTGTGCGGCATTTTTTTTGCGAGCAAAAACAGGACCGCTTTTTTTCACCCCTAAGAAACAAGCTCTGAACACACAACATCAAGCATGCAGTGTTACCGGGGGGACGGGACCTGTCGCAAATCTCAAACTCCACCCAATGGCTGCTACAATAACGCTAGATTTCAGGAAACTGCTACGAGCGACCGAACGGCCCGGACCCGCTGTCGAGGGACGACTGGGAAGCTCTTCTGGTCAACGGGGCCAGGGTTGGGTCGACCAATGAAGAGGGAGGAAACAGCTTGAACCAGCCAATAACCATGTTGGACATGTCCAGATCATCTAAAAGTATCTGAGCGGCTCCCATGAAGGATTTGTGGTCCATACGTCCGTAGTCTCCCCACACAATGATCTACGATGGAAAGAAAATAAACAGCCATCAATATCAAGTCACACTCATACAAAAAAAATTGACAAACTAGTGATAGACAGAGGCCAGGCCTCATAATACAATTTTTAAATGTTAGCTGAGTAAATATTCTGTAAAAAAATGTTGATTTAAATTATTTTAAATGTATTATGTATTATCATTATTTGCTCATATCATTTATTCAATCATTAAAGCATATTTTATGTGACATTGTTTTATATATATATATATATATATATATA